ATATTGTTGAATATTGTTGTATTTTCTTTTTGATTTCGTTTTTATTATTAGTTTGTTTTTTTTGGTTCATCGATTCTGGGGTTTTTTAGTCAGTCATTTTTGGGGTGCTTTTATAGTTTCAGGGTTGTTTTGATTTGCACGCGACTTAGTTGCGTCTATTTCCTTTTCTGGTTTATCTTTTTGTAAATCTTCTATTAATAATTCATTCCTTATTGCTTCAATCATTGTCATCTACAGGTGACCTTGATATTGTCACCTCCAGATGTATTCATCTAGATAAGAGTCAATTCTTTCTTTGTTTCTATTTCTCGCTGGTACAAGCATCTTTAATCTGTTCCAGTTTCCTTCTATAGTATTGGTATGTACTTTCGTTACTGGGTTCATGAAGTATTTTGAATAGTTCACAGTCATGTGTGGGTTACCAAGTGTTGATATAATATCTTGATAAGCTGCCTATTGATTTGTGTAAATAATTGTTCCTTCCTCAACGTTATCTTTTATGATTTGTAATAACGTATTCTTATCTCTTTTGTTTATTGTTTTGATAAATATTCTTCTTTCAGGAGTTCTTTCTACTCCTCCAATGACCCATACTCCGTTCACAGATTTTCTGCAGTGATACTTTATGTGTCCAAACAAAGATTCATCTATTTCCACAATGATATCTTTGCCTCCTATCTTGTGGTGTATATCTTGTATCTGTGATCCTATCATTTCTCTTATCTTATTTACATTATTTGTTATTGTTGATAGCGCGTGTCCTGTCATTAAAAACATTGTTTTGGTATTACTTTGATAAGCCAATTATAGAATATTTCTATCACTTTGTTTACTGGTAAATGAATTTGTTCAAAAGCTGAGTTGGTGTAAATAGATTGTGACTTTCAGCATCTCCAGTTGTTACAGTTCTACATTTTGTAATTCCTTTCATGTGGTTCCCGCATTGGTTACATGTTAACTCTTTGTATATTAATTTGTTTCTATAAGGAAGTTGATACATTCTGTTTATTTTTTAAGATTAATTCAATCTGATCTCTTGTCGGAATATCTCTCCGTGTCATTTGTTTGGTTACAATTCAATTTCTTCTTCGTAAAATAGTTTCTCAAATTCGTCTTGTAACAGGTAAAGGTATAAGTCTTTGAAGTAAATGTGTTTGATAAGTACTTGATAAGCCGTAAATGGTATCATTAATTTGATTCTTGGCATATACGATTGATAGTTCTTTTCTTCTTTTCGTGTTTCCTCTTTTAGTTATATAAGTAGGATATTTCCTACTGGTTTGGATTTTTCAATTCGAATAAATTTTATAACAATATTTAATTCTCAAATCATCCTTTATATATTGTTTTCACTATTCTTCTGTGCCTTACAGCTTTGTGTAATAATTTCTTTTGTTAACCTCTTTTTGGAAATATGTCATCTTTTATTAATCAGCTGTTTGATAACTTGGTCTTCCATAATGAGTTGTATGATTTATTAATCATTTACTATCTTCGTTGTAGTATTCTTTTTTCTAATTTTCATCAACTTTATTCTGAATTTGTTAGTACTTTGTCTTTTGATAAGGTACACCCTTATCCTAATGACTACTTCCTTCATTTTTCTCTTGTCGATTATAATTATCTTTCTTTTTTAGACTTTGGTTGTTCCAAGGATACCTTCCAATTTCTTGAAAATCGTTGTTGCGTCCTTGAAGATTTTATCTTCTTTCTTTACTCTAAGAGTAATAAGTCGGATTTTTCTTCAGTTTTTGTTGACTTTTATACTTCTTTTGATATTACTTAGAAGTATTCCTTCTATTGGAATTAGGATTTCTTTGATCCCTATTACCCTTATAATCGTGACAATAGTCGTACTGTTCGTTGTTCTTATGTTATTAAATGGGAAGAATATAATGAAGATTATATTTCTCTTAAGGATCTCAATAACAGTTTTTCTCTTGATTCTGGTTTTTCAGGTAAGGGTTTATCATGTTTGATTTTGCCATCTTTTTCTTTCTGGAAAAAGATGGTGAATCAAACATGTTGATCGATTATTGGTTTTTCACACACTGCTGGACCGGAGTGGTTAGATAACTTTTTTGGTCTGCAGTACATGGTGATCAAATATTCTAACCTTACTTTTTTTTATTTAGATGATAAAGTTTCTTTAGACCCTTAGAATTCTTTTGAGCCTGAATATGATCTTCTTGATATCTATTATTCTTCTGAAGAGCATCAAGCTCGCTTGGATTCATTAGTTTCTTCCTTTTATAGTTAATATATTAGTCAGTCGCTTAGAAAAGATGATTATTACAATTATTCTGATGATTCGAATAATTATAGTGATGATGGTATTAATGTTTGTAAGGATGACTTTGGTTATTATGATAGTAATTAACTCTGTATATATTATTTTATTATAATAAATATATTATTATTTCTTTTTGTTCTCTTTCTGGCTTTCTTTCCATGCTTTGAGTTCTTCTAACTCATCATTAGTTCCTCATGATAGAAAGTCTATGGCAAGATTTTTTGCCCCTTCTATCCTATGTATCTCATAGTCAAAGTCTTGTATCATCATTAACCAATTGTTTATAGTGGTTGCTTTACTTTGTGTTCCTTTTCGTGCAGTTATTCCTGTTGTGTCAGAGTATATGTGTACTTTTTGACTTCTTATATAATGTGTGTTGCTGTATATTTACTCGATGGTTCTGCTACTAGTATTTGCCAATAGGCTGATTTTATATCTATTGTTATATAATATTTATATCTTGCTACTCTTTGTAACATTTGTTTTGTATCAGGTAATGGTTCTCTAATAGGTAGGAGAAAACTATTTAGTTTTCTATAATCAATTGCAATCTTTTTTGTTTTATCTTTCTTTTCTATTACTATACAGGGACTTTGCCAATCTGTGTCTCCACTATATATTATCCCACTTTTTAGTAAATTATCTCTCATTTTCCTTATTACTACTAAATCTTCTTCTGAATATTTTCGTCCTTCTTGTATTTTGTCTTTTAGTGATATCTTCTTTCATCTATTTCCGGTTTAAATTTAAATTCTACTAGTGTTATCACATTTGGGTCTACAAATGTGTAGAATTCTTTTTTTTCTCAGAATATGTCGACATATTTGGTTAAAATATGTCCAATCAATTTCTATACTTCTGGTTCTCCAGTTTCAAGACAGCAGTCTTGAAGAATTTTAATTCTTTTCTTTTCACTTTCGACGGGTTCGTCGAAATTTGATAATTTTTGAAGAAAATTTTGGTTAATTTTCGGTTCAAAATTCTTCCATTTCTTTGTGTCAAAATTTTTAATTTTGACTTTCTCTTCATTTGCTATGTGTTGTCCTTTTTTAATTTCAAATTTCTTATTTGAATAGTTCATTATTGTTATATATTTTCTATTTGCTATTTCAGGCTGCACAATTACTGCTTTTTTGGCTTCTCTGGCTGTGGTCCCTATATAAAGATCTTCTTTTATTAGTTTTTAGATCTTAATATGCCTATAGTTATAGGGGGTATATTTGTTTCTTTATTTGCTAATACTTGGTATTTAGCATTTTTTCCTTCTCGTATTATTGGTAATATAATATGTCTAATATGAGTAGAATATTGTTTCTTTATTTCTTCATAGAAGTTAAGATTTACATCTGTTATATCAGATATATTTCTGGGTACACCATATCCTTGCTCTGGTTCTGATTCAGAGTCTATCACTGTTTCGTGTTCAGCTAGATCTTCTAGTTCTGCTTCTTGTTTTGCATTTTCTATCCATGCTTGTGCTAGATCTTTGTATTTGTATACTTCTCTCCAGTCGTCATCTGTTAATGCTGACTGTCCTGTTGGACTGGGTATAGGATGTTTTGTCCCTTCAATTCGGATTCTATGGCTCGTGTCCATTTAGTTTCTTTTGGTTCATATCGTAGGATTGATCCTCCTGCTTCATATTCGTCATTTGGATCATATAATTCTTCTTGTTGTTGGTAGTTACATTGACTATAATCATTATAGTTATTTGTATCTTCTAGAATATAGTCATCTAATTCAGCCATTTGTTGTGCGTCTTCTGTTGTTAATTGTTCTTGTTCTGTTTGTCTGAATAGTTCTTGTTTTCGTTTATTTTCTTTTCTAAATTGTTCTAGTCTTGGATTTCTTGCCAAAGATTAATTTGAAAGTTGTGATCTTTGTCTTTTATGACCATATTTTGGTAATACTGGTTAGTTATCATTATCATCATCGTCTTTGCTTGTTGATGCATAAAGACTGCTTGATTCTGATATTATATTAGTTGGTTGTACTTCTTTTATTAGTGGTGATGATTTATGTTGATGTTGTTTAGAATAAGATGATTGTGTCGATTGCAATGAATTTCTTCTACTTAATATTTGTTGTGCTGCACTTAAAGTGCCTTGTACTATTCCTTTTGCTTTATCAAAAAAGGTTGGCAATGTTGGTGAACTTGGTCTTGTTGTAGTTCTTGATATTGTTTATTCTGGTACTTTTGAATATTGATTTTTATCTTGTTTATTTATCCATTCTATTGTTCATCTGAAGTTGTTGTCTAGTAGCCATCTATCTGCTAATTGTTCTGTTTCTCATGGTTCATTTATTGTTGGTTGATATTCTTCATGGTATGGATGTCTTGGTGGTAATGTTTTTGGTAATTCTAAGCCTTTTGTTCTGGCTCGTATTTGTTCTTGGAATATTTGCTCTTTTTCATCTTCATCGTCATGCATTTTGTCCAAGTTTTCTAATGATACTCCTAACAATTCTCTATATTTTGCTTGGAATTGTTCTTGTAGTGGTTCGCTTTTACATAATTCTATTTGTCTAGGTATCTTTCTATTAGGATTCATTGTTCATATTCCTCCATCGCTTCAAAGTCTTTTCTGTTCAAGGTTAGTGCTTGGTTAGTTGCATATCCATATTCTTCTTCTAAGTCTTTTACTAGGTCTCTATTCTTCCAAAGAATAGCATCTTTTGTTTCTGTTAATGCAGATATTGTTTTGTATAGATAAGCTTTTTTATCCTCTGCTGTTTTTGCTTCTGATATTTTTCTATTTGTGACTCTTTCAATTTCTCAGATATGTTCATTAGTTTGTTGCTTTGTTAATTAGAAAACATATTTATAATTTGTTTCTATGCTTTCTAGTTGTTGTTTTAATTGCCTTAACCCTGTTCTAATTCTTGGGTCTTCTTGTTCTTTTTCTAATTGTAAAATTCGATCTAATTGTGACAATTGTGTCTTAATGAATGTTCCCATTTTTGGTGTTTTGACTTTGCTTCCTTCTTGTTGATTAAAAGTAATATTTAAGCTTTTAGCTTTTCTTTTCTTTTTAGTATTATCTTTTTCTATTACTTGTTTTCTAAATTGATCTATTTCTCTTTGTGCGGCTTCTAGATAGAGTTGATTCAATTTCTTTTCTTGTTTATTTTGCGGTGCTTCATGTTTCACTGCAACTGTCATTCGTTTTACTTGTTCTGCGAGTAATGTTACTTCTGGGTTATTAAATTCCATTCCTAATAGAATTGTCATTCCTAATGATTCTGGTCCTTCATACTGATTTCTATATTCTTTTAATTCTTGGTCTTTTCCTTTAGACCATTCTTCTTGAGGTGTTTCTTCTTGAAATGTGTCTCCTGCCTATTCTCTTAATTTAGAGATTTTATGTATTTGTGCTATTTGATTAGCTATCTCATTTGACGGTGTCTCTACTACT